TGAAGTTTTTATTAAATATTTTTATTTGATGAAAATTTTTTTTAATTATTATTTATATAACATATTAAGTTTTCATATAAAATCCATGATTGAAATGTCAAAAAAGTCAAATTGTAACTATTAAAAATGTATAACTAGAGAAATAAATATTAATTATTTTGTTACTCTATCCATTACATAATAATAATTTTTTTATTTAAAATTTATTCCACAACAATAGTCATTTTTTTATATTTTAAGGAAGACCAAATATTTTTTTATTTTAACCTTATAATTATTTTTTAATTTTAATTATTTATTTTATAATTAAAATAATTTTTTGTTTAATTTTTAAGATTAAAATAAATAAAAATAAAAAATATTCTCAAAATTTTTATCTAAAGATAAAATAAAATAATTTTTATTATTTTAAAATAAAAAATATTTATCAATTAATAAATATAATTATTAACTATTTTTAATTAACAAATTAAATAAAATTAATATTTTAAAAACTAAAATTAAAAAATTTTTGGTGATCCTACAATTTGTACGCGGCCACAATTACCTCCATTCATCCATCGCATGTGTCAATAGCCACAAAAAGCTATTGGGGAGTCTCCTTTTGTCTTATTGCCACATGGCATCACCCCATTGGCCATCATAGTTAAGACCATCCCTGTCTCTCAGGTGTGAAAGCTAAGATATACGGAATCATCATGTTCCCACGAGAAGATGACAAAGTCACAACTCACGAGGACTACAAAAATAAAAGTTAAATATTATTTTTCATCCCTTAGTTTTAAAATTTTATATAATTTTTATTTTTATATATTTTTTATCTTTTAATTATAAAAAATATATTAAAATTTTTTTTATTAATTAATCTATTAATTTTCTTTAAATATAAAATTTTTAATCCCTTAATTTATAATATATATTTTTTATCTCTTAATTTAAAATTTTAATATTAAAAATATACATATTTAAATAAATTTAACAACATAAATAACTAAAAAACCAAACAAACATATTTTTCATAATTAAAATACTAAAAAAATACATAAAAAATTGAAGAACAAAAAAGGCAAAATCTTAAAATTAAGGAACCAGAAGATGACAAATACCCAGTATTAATACTTTTTTATAAACAATCTTAATTAATTGGTTCAAGACAAGTGAAGAACGGAGTGGAAGGAAAGGGACGAACATATAAAGAGCTCGAAAGAAGTATTCCGATAATTTTCAGTTTTTTATGGGAGCAATTGGTCTCTAACTACTATTTTTGGCCAGGAAATGGCTCGCCCATATGGCGCCCATGTAAAAGATTTATATTCAGGTTTTCTTTTCTTGGCCATGATTCTTTCATTTCAGACTGCAGAGCCAAATTTTCTGTCCCACAAACCCCCGCCTTGGTAAGTTCACAGGGCAATTTATTTTTAAGGAAAATGGTATATAGAATCTACAGCAGAGTGGTATAGAAAATATCAACTCTCTATATTCTTGAAATACGTAGCAATAAAAATCAGTGTACCATGAAAAGTTGAAAGATTCCTGGTTAATTTGTGACAGAGAAAACTCTTTTATATATCTTAGTACCTACGAAAAAAAATTAATGCCAATGTTGAAAAAGAATACCATGAGTCGATTGAGAGATGCCACTTACCCCACAAATTCAGTAGTAAAATAAGCAATACCTGAGTACAATTAAGCCATGGAAAAGAAGAGCTTTGTGATTCTGTTTTGACCATTTCTTAAAGCTTTGCTATGTCAGTGATAAATTTGAAACCTGCTCACTAATTGACAAAGCTGTATCAACTTTTTGCTAGTTTGGAACACAGCTCAGGTGAAATGCAATGCCGATGGGCTGCTTCAGAATGACTAATTTTAGTTACCAATCTTTACATACAAAATTAGGGGACACAGTATCATACATCATTTTCCCCACACAAATGGTACAAATGACTTGGAAAAACAAATAAATTTTGCTTGGATGAGTAGCATAAATTACCACAATCCTTAAGATATAGTGAAAATCAGGATCCTTTCCAATCAGCTATGAGAATAGACATGTACAGCAATAATTCTGCAAAGAATCAAATTAAGACAGTTATGATGCTACCCGACAATGCAGTTACATAGAAAAACAAGAAACTGCCGTGTATTAGAAAAAAGAGAGGGAGGTAGAGAGATCAAAAGTAGCCAAACTTGAGATCATTGGGAGTTGCTCTATTTGCTTACAGCCCTAATGAGAAGGAGTGAACTTTTGCTCCTTTAAATGATATACATTAAGGCTTCACTCTGCCAAAATCTCAGTAGGACTAGAAAAGAAACTTTGAAACCTAGAGCAGGTGGATCAAGGTAACAAGCTATTCTCTTCTTTTCTTGAGGATAATCCAACCACGATGATTCAACTATTGAAATAAATTTTATATGGATGGTATGAGAACTTGCTTCAGTTTTTGGTGGAGACTAAACTTAAAAGCTGAAGCATTTAAGAGCACTCACCTTGACTATCTAAAAGCTTGTATTCTGGCCAAACATCAAATGCCAAAAAGAATGTTGTATATTATGTGCATGAGTAAAGACTTTCTGGTGTTCCAACCCTTCAGGCAAGCAATGACATATTTGACTGACTTGGTTGAGGCGTGGAGGGTTTAATCAATTGTCTCAAAGATTCCATGATACTAGAAAAGGAAGGGCGTTTCCACGGCTCACTGCAATACAGTCAACAATATTTATGAATAAATGCTGATTGGTTAAACATACAAATTTCTTCAAAAGTTTTTTATTTTTTGGTAGAAATTTCTTCAAAAGTTGCCATATGAACAAAGAACTTTGGACTCACTCGGCCCAGCAAGCCTCAATTAAGGCCGCCACCAGAGGATTCAGATCACATGGAATCTCAAGCCTTTTTCCTTTGAAACCAACAGCTGCTACAACCTACATGATTGTGTCCATTAGAACCCATCACATAAGAAAATTTACCTACAGCAGATATCCTTGCATGACAATTATTAAGCACAGAATGAAAGAAGCAACAGAAATAAATTCAATCTAGCAGAATAAATTAACAAGAAAAATGCATTGTGAGAAGTCAATGGGTGGATCAAGTGTACATAAATGTGCTGATACTATAATAGATAGAGAATGAAAAATAGGCACCTTAAAACTAGTGGTAAATGCATGCGAGGGACCTATAAAAGTTCTTAAAGAAAGGGCAACCATTTGTTCACATGGTTCAAGGTAGAACACTACGTGATTCACTCTGAAGCATCTTTTCATTAAAGCAGTCTTCACTGCAACTCAATTCTTAAAAGAATGTTTTCATGACTAAGATTTTCATGGAATCACCTTCAATTGAGAGTCAAGCATAAAATATAATTCAGATTTCCAACACCACTGTTCTTGATGGTTATAGAAGTGGTTTGTTTAATTTCTCTGAGAAAAGAATTTAGACAACATCCATTTTGTAATTATAACTATATCATGGATGTCCTCTACATTTTTATAACAGCTAAATCAAGAACAAAAGCAATTCTAGAAACAAGATTCTAGGAACAAGAATTTTAATTTCTGCTTTGGGAAATTTTTTGGGTTAAGTGGGTCAGGAGTGTTTATAAAATGGTGGTTTTGGAAGTATGAAAAAGCCACCTGATTGTTCCTGGACCTTAGGAAAACTCTTACAGTTAGGGAGTTGTTTGAAAGAGTTCATTGTGATTCAGTTAGGTGATGGCAGGCAAACATCTCTGATTTTCAACAGATAGCTTGGGAATGAGGGTATTATTGATCTTATTGGAGCTGTAGATGATGTTGCTTGCTGGGAGATAACAGGGTGAGGAACTGGTGGCAGCAGGGTAGATGGAGAATACCTCCAAGCTTTATGCACAGATATCCTCATGTTGCTGAAGAATTCAACGGAGTGCAGGAACCAGGTGCTGTGGCTCTTAAGAGATATGGTAATTCAGTATTCAAAGTTTATATGAAGCTCTTCGAACTAAGGGTAGGAGAGTTCTGTGGACCAGATTGTGTAGACACAGGGAATCCTGCCCAAGAAATAGTTTTGGGCTGTGGTTAACTGTGCTGGATATAACAAAGGCTTTCCTGATACAGCGTGGATTGGCAATAATTCCCGTTGTGTGCTATGTAGTGGATCTGATGAAACAAGAGATCACCTATTTTTCTGCTGTGAATTTTCCAAGCAGGTGTGGAATGTGGATGATGAACAATGATATTGTCGGAATACTTTGGAGTAATAAGGATACCTCAAGTATGGCAAAGAGAATGGACTAGGCTACAAACCAAAAGCAAGGTGTGAAGGAGAGAGAGCAAAAACCTGAAGATTGCCATTGCAGTGACTGTCTATAACATTTGGAAGGAATGAAATGGAAGAATTAAAGGAGAGTCATGATTCTAACTGTTCTGGTGTGATGGACGATGGATAATGCAGTATCTGTGATTGGTTCTCTAGCTAATTAGATGAGATAAAGGTCTATTGTTTACACCAGGGATGCCTGATCCTGGTATGATAAATGTATTGTCATTTGGGTTTGAATTCATAAAACCTTATCCTTGTTCCCCTCCACACCCCCCCCCCCCCACACACACACACACAAAAGGAAAAAAGAATTTTTAATTTCATACATGGCACACAATTTCAAAAACAAACCTGTGCTGGATTTAAGTTGCCCCATGGCTGTTGTAATGTTGTGAGCTCCCACAAAATTACACCAAAACTGTAAACATCAGACTTTTCATTTGATGGCTCATCACGGAGAACTTCTGGTGCCATCCACTCCGGCTATATAATAAATAAACCATTAGTTTTGTCTGCCAAAGTTCCATGCCACCTATCTTTTAAGGAACGACCTTGAATTAAACAGAACTTACTGTTCCAGCTGCTGACTTGGAAGAAAGAAATGTGTTCTCTTTAAAACGAGAAAGCCCAAAATCACAAACCTGAATGGACAAGTAGACAATTTTAGATAAATTTAGAAAGAAAACTGTGAACAAAAGAAACAAAAAAAGGGTACAGGGACTTGTAAGTTGTAAACCAAAATTAAATATCAATGAATTATTGGCAGTGACACTGTAGTAAAAATTTCCACTATCACTTCAGCATGCAGTGATTCAAGCACTTGCCAAAGACAAGATAACAGTCATCTCCTGGCATTATTTTACATGTGTTATAAACTCAAACATTTAAAAAAAAAAGAAACAGAAGACAAAGAAAGGGCAAGTATATGTAAAGTGCAATGGAAGCAAACCACCAGTTAGACTCCATAGCCTTGGTACCATTCCAAAGGCAACAAGGGCAATTTGAGAGATTGTCTTGAAAACTATCTGAGACTAATTTTTAGCCATTCAACATAAAAAATCAATTGGTAGGAGACTCCATTTGAATATAAGGTTTAAAGAAATGAACTAAATTGATGTGGGATACAACCACGACTAACTTCCCTTCAATTGTAAGCCATGTGGATTAGGCTGATCATCTGGACTATGAACATGGGGGATAAACAACAAATGGGCAAAAAACAACCTAGGCTTTGGGACCATACTATATTTATGTTTGTAACAACAACAACAAGGTCTAAGAACTATGTAGATTCCAATGTCAGTTAAAAAATGTAAAAGACTAGAGATTATCAATTATGTAACGCACTAACTCCATGTTAAGAAGACAATAAAATAAATGATATTGGTAGAGAAGGCAGAGTGAACATTGTGTTGTCTGCCACATGATTATTTTGATAACTATACTCTGTGGCGTGGCAGAGACACTGTTGGGTTTTACCTTGACGGTATACTTTCTATCAACCAAAAGATTTGGAGATTTTAAGTCTCTATGGACAATTGGAGGATTACGCCTATGAAGATAATTCATTCCCTTCGCCTGTGCATGGCAAAAGCAAGCCATTTAGGCCAAAAGAATGCACAAATATAAGAATCATATATTTTAAATAAGAAAAGAAAAAAGAACCAATAAATAATTAAAAGCTTTTAAATACATACCACATCACAGGCCATATTCAACCGACGCCTCTCATCCAACACTTCTCTTGCCCCAGGTCTATGTAGAAGCCTGAATAAGCTACCTCTGCAATTCAGGAAATACAGAAACCTGAGCCTTAAAAATGACTTCTTTATTTGCTTGTATCTTTAAAAGGGTTTGGGGGTTGTGGGACGAGGGGAGAGGGGCTATCTGATGTGATGGAGGAAGGTGCTTAGGAAGAAAATTCAAAACCTTGATAAGTACTCCGTCACAATAGACAAGTTTGGGGGCTGAGTGACTGCCCCCATGAAAAGAACAATATTTGGATGCCGCAGCCGCTTCATTATTGCAACCTAACAAACCAATAATAGTAAAAAATATCAGACCAAGATTACACTAATTTTAGGATCCAGATGTTATAAATTTTGAGCCAGGCCATACCTCCCTCAGAAATTCCTTGTAGCGTTCAGCATGCAAGTCTTGTTCCATGAGAATTTTTACAGCAACATCCTGAAATTGACACCCCAGAAACTATATATCTCAAGAAAGAAACAATATATGCATGTAAAACCTCTGTTAAACAGCTAGAATACAAAAATACAAGAGAAGAAACACAGCTTAGCATTGACAACGTTCTACAAAGAGATCTGAAATCTCAATATTGTATTATAATTCAAGATCAGAAACAAAAATTTTCACTTCATTGTTATGACCATAAAAGGATATTTAAACAAAGGAAAAATTCATTACCGAGCCATGCCATTCAGCACGATGAACAGTTCCAAAAGAACCTGAAAAGGCAGCAATTCCAATCTAAGTACACCACTAGAGCCTCAACTACATGACAAGCAAAAGGAAAGAATATGATCTCCTCACACTATTAAACAACAATTCTTCAAAAAGAGACCAGAATACCTGATCCAATTCTCTCCTTTAAGATAAGATCACTCCATGGAATGTCCAAACCATCCTCAACAATCCTTGAATCTTTACCAACATTTTTTGTCTGAAAGATAGAACCTCTAGTTTGAACATTTGTTTGAGCAACGTTTGGAGGTGGGGATAACTCTGACATTTCAATTGAGATCTGCCGAGAGTTATTTCTCTCTGTGCTCATCTTATCATGCTGCTTACTATAAAGAGAGAATCCAGCATTTTCTTCATCAATAGCAGTACCTGCTGATATAAACAACAATGGGAAAAATTCTCAAAAAGATGTTAATGACAACTTCAATGGTGTAATGAATAAACACATTCAATGAGCAGGAAGTAACTCATGATATCAAACTGGCTTAAATTCTAATGGCTAGAATTAGTCTAAAATCCAAAGAGAGATAAGAAAGGCTAATATAGTTTCTTTAACACACATTACGCCAACTTCAGTTTCACTATAAAAAGAATAAATATGACACAAAATTACCTGCTGAAATGTCATCAAATACAATATCAAGCGACTGAGAATCTGAGAAATATTGCTGGGCCAGGGACCTAAAATCAATGTCAGGTTCGGCTGGTTTGAGACGTGGAAAACGCAATGGGGAAGAAACTGAAATTGAAGATGGACCATTGAGCAAGGAATCAGGCTTGCATAAGTAACCTGGATTCCCTATTAAATCAACGAGGCACTCCCTGAAATCATGTAAATATGCTTCATGAGCTAGCCATTACAGATTGCTAAAATTGTAAAGTGAAAGAGTGCAAGAACTCTTCCATTAAGATAAATTAGAGATTAGGTTCTTCACAAAGTGAATTTAGAGGCCAATTGGAAGCAAATGCTTTGCTTTCATGACAAATTGGAACTGTACAAAAGTCATTTCATAGAATTTGTTCAGTTTGTATGAAAAAACAGTACTATCAGCTTAAAGCACATGTTTAATTCTTTGCGCAGATTTATTCCCAATCCAGAACTAGTGTCTATTCTTAAAAATGACTTACCACAAAGTTACAAGGGCAAATCACAGTTTAGTCATCTAAGAGTCAAGACCATCCATCAGTAAGTTGGATTAATAATTGAAGACACCAATGGCTTTCCAGGAAACAGATATAAAAAAAAAAAAAAAAACCACCTGTTAAGCCCAAACCGAACAAGACAGGAGGAAGCGTCATCTCGTTTGCAATATTTGCAGCCCTTCACAATTCGACATGGAAGATCAATGGAATCAGCTAGTACCTGAAGAGATCAACTTTGAACCATGAATCCTATCCTTTTAAAGAAAAATAAAAATAACAAGAAATACCCTCATAAAATGTAGTAAAAGCATACAAAAATTACAACCAACCTAAATGTTGGTAGACTGATAATAATTGATAAAGACTTGCAAAAAGAATATACATAAAAAATTCAAGATCACAAACATTCAAGAACTTCATAACACTTCAAGTATATGAAAGCACCAAAAGTTGGGGCCTTACTTTGAACAGTAGAGCTCGATGTCTGCAGAGTCCAACAGACAGACTGCCTATGGGAATCACAACCGATCCTAAGCAATCTTTTAGTTCATCACTACACTCCCTCCAATAGGAAACAAAGCAATCCTCTCCGGTAGCAGCTGAACCCCTTGTGATAGCAAGAAAACTTGGTCAGAAAGGTACAGTGCTGCAAAAAGCACACCCAAGCACTAGGCGGTGCTCCACCGCCTTGCCTACACCCTAGGGGGTGGAGCTAGCTGTTTCTTCTATTTTTTAGATTTTTTGGTTTTATTTTGGCATCTTTTGCAGAAGATAAAAAGTGCCTGCGCACCTAGGTGGCACCTAAGCACCACCTAGCGCCTTCTACAACATTAGAAAGGTGCAATTGTAATGATTTGGAGTCCTGAAAATTTGTACACCAAATATGTAGATAACTCACCCCATGTGGTTACACACAAGCTTTGCTAGTTGATCAACAACCTCTTCTGTTGTAATACAAGTACAAGAAATGTTGTGAACTCTGTTTTGCAGTTCCTTTAAGCTGGGATCACTTCGCCGATCAACCAAGACCACTTCAAGTGAAGAATCAGCACTAGGGTCAACAGACTTCAGTGATTCAATAGACGGAATACGACCATGCTCGTGTAGATCAGTGCAGACAGTCCACATGTAAGGGTCCATTCCGTGAATCAAATAAAATCCATCAGGAACTTTGTCAGAATATGATAAGCAGCCATTCACCTGATGCAAAATAATGTCAAAAATGGAGGGCATTTGAATTCCAATTTCCAAATTACACATTCATCAGCTGAAGATAAGAGGAAGAAAAGAAAGTGCAACTTTGAATCTATTCCTGATATTTCAGTCTGAAATTCAACTCAGTTCTTAATCTGAGAATGCATAGTTCAGAAATTAGGCTTCATGAATCTCTCCAGATTCACTTAAGCTCATTGCATCATCCCAAGAAACCATGTGTCAACAGGAGATAGGGGTACTTTCACCAAATATTTCCAAATAATGAAAAGGAAAATCATTGGAAGCACGTCAGCACAATATCTGGCATGCACTCAAACTAGACACCTTTACTTAAGTCCATCCAAAGTGGGACCAAATTTCTAACTCTTCAAAACAATTTCCAATGTCTAAATGTTAATGTTTCTATTAATGGCATAATCAGAGTCTGCTAGTTGAGGCAGAAATTTTTTACCAAAGATCTGCAAACCACCAAACATGGTAAAGGGACAATTTAGATTGACAAGGACAAGAGAATTTAATAATTTTGTTTGAAGTAGAGGCATGAAAAGACTGGCTTGTCCAATTTCTAATGCAATGTACTTCTTCCCAAACCAAGGGAAGGGAGAGGAAGGGAAATGGATATGATATCTTTCCATTTCCCTCCCCTTGTTTGGTTAGACTAAAATACAAAAGAAATTAAAACAAAATAAAGCAAAACTCCTCACCTCCCCTCCAATTTTTTTTTTTTTTTTTTTTTTTTTTGTATCCAAATGGGGAAATTTCTCCCCCTCCCCTCCCCTCCCCTCAAACCAAACAAGCCATGTCCTGAACGTCCATCAACTGTTTTTCCTACAATTAATTTATGTTCTAATATCAAAAAGGATCCCAAAGAGTTTTTGTTATCTTCTCATTCATGTCCTTAATGTCCATTAACTTTTTTTCATACAATGAATTTATGTTCTAATCACAAAAAGGATTAGTTATTTAATATAAATTTTCCTTTCAAATTTACAAATAGAATATATTGAACAATCTACATGTACCATCCATTGCCAATGCTTAGATAGACTTCATGTGATGGGGAACAAGAAGAAGCTATTAAATAGTTATTTAAATTATTTTGGATTCTTTTGTTATTATTATTATTATTATTATTATTATCACTCAAGTATTATTTTAAATTATTATTAGTTTCCTAGTTTTATTAGGATTAGATCATTTATTTAAGAGCCTTACTAGGTATCTAAGTAATTTTTTTATTGAGCCAAAGTTCTAGTCAAATTAGAATAGGAATTCTATTTCTTGTTAATTTAGGAATCTCTTCTATACTATATTCTTAACTTCTTTGACTGTTCATGCACACTGTTCACATGCTAAATTTACAGTAAACAACCTCTATATTCCCAAGCCCACCATAGCCCCAAACCTATCCTGCATCATCATGGCAAGTCAAACCATGGATTACCTAGAAAAACCATAGTTTGACAAACAACAGAAAATAATGGCTGGAGCCAGGTCTTAATTTAGCAGTCATTTCTTACTTAGATTTCTGACCCATTGGTGTTTCCACTCCTGCAACAATACTTACACCACCCCTTATTCATCAAGCAAGCGACTGAACCATCACAGCCTCATCCTGCCCTCCAAATTCTACCTTCTCAAAACGCATTCAATTTTTCTATTACAAATAGCTAAAGCCCAAGTAATCATTTTCAAAGAGAAATAAAGTGAATCCGAACCTTAAGCTAGATGAAACCCTAATACCAGTATCTCAAAACTTCTGAGGCCTACGATAAGAAATCACACATCACATGCATCATTAGTTACATTGCAGAAACAAATATTTAAAACCAAGAGGTACCCCTAAATATGACAAATAATGAATTTGCCTATACATCTTCCTTCATTCTCAGACTAACTCTAAACTAACAAATTTGCAGATAATCAAGCTCAATCAACGTTTTGACTAACTCTAAACTCAAATAAGAGCTCTAGGCGATCACTTAAACTAAATTACCTAACCATGAACATATTCACTATTACCATTAATATTATTGTTATACACCTTATGCAATTATGAATGACACTATAATCAGAAGCACTGTCACATTATCCCGCCACACTTCAAGCCTTCAACAACAACATCTAACTCAGCTCTAAAAGAAAATAAATAAATAAATAAAAATCACGAAAATAAACAAAGAGAACTCCAACTAAACTCACGGTCTCAGAATGACAATAAAACCTACCCAGAATCGATGAGACACTGTCTCAACAGAGCCCAAACTGGCTGTCCTCATCGCCGACTCATCTGGAACCGGATCTAAAAAATTCGGATCATCTGCACACGTAGCTTCCAAAGAAAGTCTTAGAGCCAACGCCAACTGCAACTGATAACTCTCCTCAGTTTGCTGCGCCCAGCTCTTCCCAGACGCCGAGCCTCCCAAATCATCTGCTGCCGGCAGTCTCGGCTCCCCAAACCTCGAGCTATCGTCTTTCCCATATCCCAAGGCATCGATCTCGCTTCCCGCCCCAACGGAAAGAGTTGGCGCGTAGTAGTCACCCGAGAGCGAGCTCTCTCCGAAGCTGCTGCCGCTGGATTGCCTTTGCAAACCGATCGACGATGGAAAGGCACTGCTGCCTCCGATTCGACTAGCTGGCTGCTGGTTCGGATCCCAATCGTGTACCAACCTATCAGATTTCGTTTTATTATTGTTGCTTTTGTTGGTGGTGCTTTCGCTAGATAGAGAATCGTAAAACGGCGACGGTGCACCGGAGATGGATACGGAGTACTGATCGTCGGGATACTGGCTAAGGAGAGAGTAGTTGGATCTTCGACCAGGCATTTCCATGGAGAATTTTGATAGTATAACTAACGATCACAAACCCCAACAAACCCTAGGAACCGCCATTGTTGAAGATTGAACAGCGCCTTCCTCTCTCTAACATTCGCATTAGTTACGTTTTTTTTTTTTTTTTTCTAATTTTCTCTTTCTAGAATTCAGTTGTTGGAAAAAGAAAGTTTGAAAGCGATGCCGTGGTGAAATCGTAATTATATTCCTCAGTTTCACCTTTGTTAACTAATGAATTTTATTTTAAAGGTA